ATTTTGTGCTCAGGTAGGAGAAAAAATTCCACCTGAAATTGGTAGAGAGGAAAGCTTAGCTGATTAAATAGAAACAGTAGAACAGGCCCTACTGGATTTACTGAAATGACCATTGTTTTACCTGAAGAACTTAGTTGCTTTAAGATACATAGTTGAATTCTTTATTATGTTTTCTTTTTTTATCCAAAATGATAATTACATTGCTTCCGTTGTCGATGGTTTATATATTTCTTCTTAAACAGCCTGTGGAATGGAATGAGGAAACAGCAGAAGAACAAGTTGGAGCTGAGTCACCTGCTCTGGTAACTGATGATACTGATGAACAGAGTTCAGAAAGGAAAGATGATGATGCAGTTAGTTTTACGGAAGAAAATGATTGGGACAGGCTTCTGCGTATGAGGTTCGAGTTCCCTCTTGCTCTTACTTTAGCTACTCACCTATGTTTATTTGCTTAAGTCTAAACGATATTCGCAGCATATGTTCTTGCTTTCACTACTTATTATTACTTATTTGCTGATTTTCATACGGACAATTGTACTTGTAGATGGAAGAGATATCAGAGCGAGGAAGAAGCAACGCTTGGTAGAGGAAAACGTTTGAGAAAGGCTGTTTCATACAGGGAAGCATATGCCCTAAATACCAGTGGAGCTGCAGTCGAGGTAATGGTTTTACTCTACTGACAAGAGCATCTTTTTGTGGCTGTGAACACCTTTGCCATATCAGTTACCAGTTTTCTTATCATATAACTATTGCAGGATGGTGGTGAAAATGAGAAAGAACCAGAACTTAAAAAGGAATATACACCTGCAGGCCGAGCCCTAAAAGACAAGTTGTAAGTTCAAATTCTAAATCTATTGGTTGTTCGCCATTTGCTAGGTTAATAATAGTAAAAGCAAACTTTTGCTCCATTTGCTTGTATTAGATTAAATTATATCATTTTCCCCGTTAATTTTTGCATAGACTTACGTATGTGATTACTCCTGATGAGAAGATATTCTGTAGCTGTATCAATTTGTGTATAATTGGTTTCGAAGATATTTGAATTTGTCATAATAAGTTACTGCTGAAGTGAAGTCTGTAACTCCTTTTCATGTGTTTCTTTGGCAAAACAGCACAAAGCTACGAGAAAGGCAAAAAAATCGGCTTGCAAAAAGGAATGCTGTTGAAGACTCAATTCCTAATGGCAATGTGGATCAGGTAACTGAAGCAGCCGATCAGGACGAAGAAAGCCCTATAATGATGGACTTGGACGATAGCCAACACTGTGATGCACAGAAAAGAAAAGCCAAATCGCTAAGGCTAGACGGTTCTTCAGATCCTACACCAGATCTTCCAAGTCAACATCATCATGGCGCAGAATGTCCGCCATCTTTACCCCCAAACAACCTGCCGGTTCTTGGGCTGTGTGCTCCTAATTTTACGCAACCAGAACCCTCCCGGAGAAATTATTCTCGTCCAAGTAGTAGACAGAACAGGACCATAACAGGATCTCATTTTCCTTTCAGTCTACCCCAAAGATCAGGCTCGGTTGAGAGGGAAACAAACAACCAGGAGCCTTCTATGGGTAAACCAAAACCACATGATGTAAAGGAGGAACCTTCTCAACAGCCTCTTAGTAATATGGATGGTTGGCTTCCAGTTCGTCCGGTATTTCCCTCTCTCCTTTACCCTCTAACACATATGCTTCCTATGCACTTACACTTATATATGTGTTAAATTTTATATGCACATTTCAGTTTCCTCCTTCAGGGGATTTTGAGCGTCCCCGAAGTTCTGGTGCTGCTTTGGCTGAGTTCCAGGAGAAGTTTCCATTACTTAACCTACCATTTGATGATAAGCTGCTTCCTCGATTTCCATTTCAGCCGAGAAATACGGGACCTTCTCATCAGGAAATCATGGCCAATCTTTCGCTGAGGAAAAGATTTGAAGGCAGTGGTCATTCAATGCAAGACCTATTTTCCATGCCACCAATGCCGTTTCTACCAAATATGAAAGTCCCTCCTGTGGATCCACCTGTTTTCAGCCAACAAGAGGAGTTACCGCCGCCTATGGGTTTGGATCAGTTTTCATCAGCTCTTTCATCTATTCCGGAGAACCATCGAAAGGTTCTTGAGAACATAATGCTGAGAACAGGCAATGGACTTGGGCACTTGCAGAAAAGGAAAACTAGAGTAGATGCATGGTCCGAGGATGAACTAGATTCTCTTTGGATTGGAATTCGCAGACATGGGTATGGAAATTGGGAGACAATTCTTAGAGATCCAAGGCTAAAATTTTCCAAATTCAAATCTCCGGAATACTTGGCAGCGAGGTGGGAAGAAGAGCAGCGTAAATTCTTGGACAGTCTTTCTTCTCATCCATCTAAGTCAAGCAGGACAGATAAGTCCACCAAAGTTCCCTTGTTTCCTGGTCTTCCTCAAGGTATGATGAACCGGGCTTTACATGGAACTAAATATGCTACTCCTCCAACGTTCCAGTCCCACCTCACAGACATAAAGCTCGGATTCAACGATCTAGCATCTACCCTTCCCTTATTTGATCCCTCTGATCACTTAGGATTACGAAGTCAGCCTTTTCCTCCTATGGACCGTTCTGGGGATCCTTCTGCTGGACCATCTGATCGATCAACAAATTTTCCCAGTGATAAGCCTTTTCCACTCAACTCTCTTGGAATGGGAAACTTAGGTTCGCTGGGTTTGGATAGTTTAAGCTCTATAAACACACACAGAGTTGATGAAAAACGGGATGCCATTAAGCGTGGGAAACTACCTTTGTTTCTAGATATGCAGCTACCTCCAATGCTTGATTCTACCAACAATGTGTTCTTGGGAAGATCAGCCAATCCATCTCTCCTTGATCCAAACCAAATGTTGAATCTCTCAAATCCGATGGGGAAAGACGTATTGGGATGTAGTAGCTCTTCAGAGAACAAGTTACCTCATTGGTTACGGGATGCTGTGACTGTTCCCGCTGCAAAGTCACCTGAACCACCCACTTTACCTCCAACCGTGTCTGCTATAGCTCAATCAGTTCGAGTTTTGTACGGTAAAGATTCTACTACAATTCCGCCGTTTGTGATACCACAGCCGCCGCCTCCTGTTCCCAGAGATCCAAGACACGGTCTGCGAAAGAAAAAGAAACGAAAATCGCGTCCATCAAGTCAAATGACTACAGATATTGCTAGTAGCAGCCACAATGTCGTAGAAAGCAGCTCTCAAGGCAATCCACTAACATCCTCAACTCCTCAGTTGCCTCCACCGTCTCTATCAGGTGAACCTTCTGGGTCCTCTCAAGCCAATCTACCACATCACAACGTAAACATCACAGAACAGTCTTCCTCCGAGCCGATCAGGGTTCCACCTCCTGAAGATGATGATGTGGTAGCCGCAGAGCCATCTGAAGCACCAAAGCTAAGTCTAGAGGAAGTCACTGGTACCTCAAGATCTATATCTCCAGAGAGAAAAATCTCTGAATCCAAATCGATTGACCAGGATAGAGACTCAGATTTAGAACCCTGTGAGAAAACCGAGGAACAAGAATCTGAAAATGCTTCAAACAAGCAATGTGAGTTAACAGAGGCTGAAACTCCAAACATGGACACAGAACAAGATGACAAAGAAGAATCCGTGAAGATGGTAATTGATATTTCTCCAGGTGACGATTGAAGTCTTCAATCAAATTGCATTGAAACTATATATTAGCGTTGCTTTGTTTTGGTACACTATATGGGCTATTAAGTTTTGTAGGTATGACGCAAATCGGTGAAGAAGCAGTATATGTACTGGGACTTGCCATTTTTATCTTTTTAATTCCTTTTTTGATTGTAAAGCCTGTGTAAGAGAATGACGAAGCTTATATTAAATATCTAACTGGTTGGTTTGGATTGTGTAAAACCAGATTATGTAGATTGTAATGCTTAGTGGAATGCTTCAGTTAGAAAATCGTTCTTACTTCAGTTGAAAGTTCGGTTCCGGTTCAGAATTCACTATTACCAAATTGTAGTCTTCAGTTGTCTTGCTCAGGCAGATGAATTCATATAGAAAAAAGGTTTGAAAACTCTGAATAGTAAGGCAGGTTCCTTGTTCTCCTTACATTTAAAATGGTTTAGAAATTGACAGTAGACACTAACCAACTATCGTTAGGCAAATGAAGTTATGTTCAGCTAGCCTAAATATCACTGGTATGAATTACAATATCACTCTTGTCAAACTTCTTTACTTTTCTTCTCCTTGTTTGCGTTTTTAGTTAAGGGTTGCCTTCAACTATACGTTTCCACACTCAAACTTTCTAAGAACATGTCAAGTTGTCAACAAACTAAACTACAATTAACAAGGCTCTATAAGATTTGATATTGACATTCTCATTTTTGTTTCGGGCCCTTTTTGTTTCTGAAAAATCGTGATTAAATTAATAACCCATAGATTTTTGATAGCTTGAGAAAAAGGTTTATTTATAAAGTTTGTTGGATTAAAGTTTTACGACTATAATAAATGAAAACACGAAAAGCCAATATTAATATGGTGACCGACAAACTACCCCCACTCAAACTTTCTTTCTTTTTGTCAAAAACAATTTCCCGTTTTCGTTTTTGTTTCTATATCCTCTTGTAATAAATAGATAGTTCTTTCTTCGTGATAGTATCATCTGGCCGACTTAGCTCAGTGGTAGAGCGCGTGACTTTTAATCACGTGGCCGTGGGTTCGATCCCCACAGTCGGCGTTATAATTTATATTTTCTTTCTTATTTTTCTGAAAACCAAAAAAAAAAGTCTCCTATATATATCACTCGAGTAAATAGATTCTGCCAGTAAAAATAGATTCATTTTTTTCTCCATCTCACAAAAAACAATCCTCCAATTATTTCCACATAAAAAAAGAAACAAATAAGTCTCTTAAATTCAAACATCAAAACATAGAAGAAGTTTCCCTCTTTCACCTTCTTTCATCAATTTACCCCCATTTTCTCCGTCTGCTTGACGTCGGAATCTCACAAACGTAAAAATGGCGCCGAGTAGACGGGATATACAACTTACTCGGATCGCCGGAGACAGACTTGGTTCTTCCGATGAGGACACCGAGGCTATGGAGGGAGTTCGTCTTCTTGATTCCTATGATGATGACGAAGAGAACGCTCATTTTCTTAGTAAGATAGAGGGAGGAGGAGGTGGTGATTCCGGTTTGAGGAAGATTCAGGTCGGAATAACCGGTATGACTTGTGCTGCTTGTTCTAATGCCGTCGAAGGAGCTTTGATGAACGTTAACGGTGTATTCAAAGCCTCTGTCGCTTTATTACAGAACAGAGCTGATGTCGTATTCGACCCCAATTTAATCAAGGTTTTTTTTTTCTTTTAAACTAATTGTTTTCAATTATGCCTGAGATTTTTTAACTAAACCCGAAATCCTGAACTAAATCGAACCGGAAAATTAGCCGGTAAATATTCAAATATATATTGTAAAATGGTACTTTGGACTATAGATATTGTACTAATCCAACTCGAATTCGAACAAGTATTAAAAACCAAAAAAAATCAGAACAATCTATTTTTTGAGAATTTGAATTATTATCTGAAGAGTACTCAAAATCTAAATAAGTAATTCAAATATTCAATTTAATATTTATTTTGATATAATGATATCTAAAACTATTCGAACTTGAATATTAACTTTTACTAGATAGAGGTATGAATTATATTTGAATTTGCAATGTTTTAACAAAACACTGCTCAAACATATACAAAATCCGAATAGGGTTTAAGAAACTAAATCAGGAAGCCCAAAAAAATCTAATCCAAAAGACCCATGCATATTGTACTTGTTTTCATTTTTATTTATTTCTCCACCATTTAATGGATTTTCTGTTATAGGAAGAGGACATTAAAGAAGCTGTAGAGGATGCTGGCTTTGATGCAGAAATTCTAGCAGAGCCTGTTACTGCCGGGGCCAAGACAACTTTGGTAGGACAGTTTACTATTGGAGGCATGACATGTGCAGCTTGTGTTAACTCAGTTGAAGGCATTCTAAAAGACCTTCCTGGCGTTAAAAGAGCAGTGGTAGCTTTAGCAACATCATTAGGAGAAGTTGAGTACGATCCTAACCTAATCAACAAAGACGATATTGTGACTGCAATCGAAGATGCTGGCTTCGAGGGGTCTCTTGTGCAGAGCAATCAGCAGGACAAACTCCTTTTAAGAGTTGTTGGTGTGTTGAACGAGCTTGACGCTCAGGTTCTTGAAGGTATACTTACCAGATTGAACGGGGTTAGACAGTTTCGCGTTGACAGTGTATCAGGAGAGATTGATGTGGTGTTTGATCCTGAGGTTGTGAATTCGAGATCGTTGGTTGATGATATTGAAGGAGAAGGTTATGGGAAGTTCAAGTTGCGTGTCATGAGCCCTTATGAAAGGTTGACCTCCAAAGATACTGGAGAGGCTTCGAATATGTTTCGTCGTTTTATCTACAGTCTTTCTCTCGCTGTGAGTTTTTTATTTGCTAATGCACACACCATTTTATGATGGCATTCATTAGGCCGGATTTGAACACAACCTAGTAAAACATTCGGTTATTTGAAAGTTAAATATATAGATATATATAAACATCTAAATTATATACTTTTTAATTTAAATTCTTAATATATATAATACTAGTACTGATGCCAGATCTCATCAGAACCCGTAGTTAAAGTTGCATGGACGAGATTAATTAGTACTAGGATGAATGATCTCTCGGGAAATCCTTGTGTTGCATCCCAAAAAACAAAAATTCAGAAAAAAGCTCTTCATAAATATTTATGGCCTCAAAATCTTAGAACTGACCATAGTCTTGAATATGTTATCTTATGTCAATAATACTACATTTTTTTCAGATTCCTCTCTTCTGTATCCAAGTAATCTGCCCGTACATTGCTGCTGTGAATAACGTACTGGCATGGAGATGTGGACCTTTCATGATGAGTGATTGGTTTAAATGGGGCTTAGTAAGTATTATTCAGTTTGTTATTGGCAAACGCTTCTACGTTGCTGCATGGAGAGCTCTTCGAAATGGTTCAACTAACATGGATGTGCTAGTTGCTCTCGGCACGTCAGCGTCATACTTTTACTCTGTTGGGGCTCTTCTATATGGTGCAGTCACTGGGTTTTGGTCACCAACGTACTTTGATGCAAGCGCTATGTTGATAACATTTGTCTTACTTGGAAAGTATTTGGAATCTCTTGCAAAGGGTAAAACATCAGATGCTATGAAGAAACTAGTACAACTTACTCCAGCAACAGCTGTTTTACTAATCGATGGCAGAGGTTACTTACTTCTCCTATAGTTACTTAATATTCAACTTTTTTTTTATGTTCGGTTTTATTTATTTGTTAACCATTTTTTTAGAAGGGAAGTTTGTAGGGGAAAGGGAGATAGATGCGTTGCTGATTCAGCCTGGTGATTCATTAAAAGTTGTTCCTGGTGGGAAGATACCTGCTGATGGTGTTGTTGTGTGGGGTTCAAGCTACGTTAATGAGAGTATGGTGACTGGTGAATCAGTTCCTGTATCAAAAGAAGTTGGTTCACCAGTGATTGGAGGTACTATTAACACTCATGGTGCTCTTCACATTAAAGCTACAAAAGTGGGTTCTGATGCAGTTCTAAGCCAGATTATTAGTTTGGTCGAGACGGCACAAATGTCTAAAGCCCCTATCCAGCAATTTGCAGACTATGTAAGTAGCTGTGTCATTATAATCATTATCAGGGTAGCAAATTTATTTTGCGTTTCTCATGTGCAGGTTGCAAGTATCTTTGTTCCGGTAGTGGTTACTTTGGCATTGATCACCTTAGTGGGCTGGTGAGATTTAATACCTTAGTTTTTTACCATTATTAATTTGTTTTCATTGTCTTAGAATTAAATGATATTTGTAGGTCAATTGCTGGAGCTGTTGGAGGTTATCCAGAAGAATGGATACCGGAAAATGGAACTCACTTTGTGTTCTCACTTATGTTCTCAATATCCGTTGTTGTAATTGCTTGTCCTTGTGCACTTGGCTTGGCAACACCGACCGCTGTTATGGTGGCAACAGGAGTTGGTGCAACCAATGGTGTACTGATCAAAGGAGGTGATGCATTGGAGAAAGCTCACAAATTGAAATATATAATCTTTGACAAAACAGGCACTTTAACTCAAGGGAAAGCTACCGTGACAACTGCAAAAGTCTTCTCAGAGATGGACCGTGGAGAGTTCCTCACACTTGTTGCTTCTGCTGAGGTAAGTTAAAGCTTCTTTCCTTGGTTATTAGTTTCTCAGTGATATATAAAACCACCACTAAAGCCTTTGTTTCCCATCCTAAAATTAAATGACAATAAATATCTTTACCCTAACTCTTTACAACAAGTGCAGCAAAGGTTCATGGGCAAGTTCACACATTTCCCAAAAAAAAAATATTATAATAATGAACAGTGATGAACTCCAGCTCGCAAAGGTTGTTCCTGCTGAACCGGCTCATGACTGTTTTCCTGGGCCCCACATCACGTGGCGGCCCGTTATTGGTCCTTTTTTTTTCTTTTTTAAAAGAAAAAGTCAAACAAAAAAAATTAAAAATTAAAATCATGAATCCCACCACGAATTCATTGATGTGCATGCCCTTATATATTAGTTAATTAATTCTTTAACTAACTAACGATGAGAAAATTTCATTCATTCAATAACAACATTTCATTTGTCTCTTGATTTCTTTAGGCAAGCAGTGAACACCCCTTGGCAAAAGCTATAGTGGACTATGCTCGCCAGTTCCACTCCATTGATGAATCAGCTGAAGATGGCAAAGAGTTTCAAAACTCTGGATGGTTACTGGATACATCAGATTTCTCTGCTCTTCCCGGAAAAGGGATTCAATGCTTAGTCAACAACAAGATGATTCTGGTTAAGATTTTAAAATCACACAATTAATAATTATATTTTTTAATTAGTAGGTTTTGAGCCTCTAGGACCAAACCATATATTATATCAACTTCATTTGCTTTTGGTTATGTATTCGCTAACTGAAAAAAAAAAAATATTTTCCTAAACTTGGATTAGGTGGGAAACCGTAAACTTATGTCGGAGAATACCATAACCATCCCAGACCACGTTGACAAGTTTGTTGGTGAGCTTGAAGAAAGCGCAAGAACAGGAGTCATTATTGCCTATAACGGCGAACTAGTTGGTGTAATGGGAATCGCTGATCCACTAAAGCGAGAAGCCCCTATGGTTGTGGAACTTCTCCGTAGAATGGGTGTTCGTTCCATAATGGTTACAGGTGATAACTGGAGAACAGCAAGAGCCGTTGCCAAAGAGGTAGGTTAGAATCATTTTGTTTCTTTTTGTTTGGTTCCGTTTTTTTTTTTTGTCAAAAACCATTTTAAAATATCAAGTGGTCGAGTTTGAGTCGTTTTGAAGATACGCTCGGTCCAACTGGCTACATGGGAAATGAGAATGCTGTTGCTTCTCGCTTGTTTGGTTTAGTAATTATTTTTTTTTTAATGTCAGTTTGCTTTTTTTTTGTGTGGCATGGGTAGGTTGGTATCGAAGACGTGAGAGCGGAAGTAATGCCGGCAGGGAAAGCTGAAGTGGTCCGTTCACTACAAAAAGACGGAAACACTGTTGGGATGGTCGGAGATGGAATCAATGACTCTCCCGCTCTAGCCGCTGCTGACGTGGGAATGGCGATTGGTGCAGGGACTGATGTAGCTATAGAAGCAGCTGATTACGTTCTGATGAGAAACAACTTGGAAGATGTTATTATAGCCATCGATCTCTCAAGGAAAACTTTGACAAGAATCCGAATGAACTACGTTTTCGCCATGGCTTACAACGTTGTGTCGATCCCTATAGCAGCAGGAGTGTTCTTCCCGCTTTTGCGAGTGCAACTGCCTCCATGGGCCGCGGGAGCATGCATGGCACTCTCTTCGGTTAGTGTAGTTTGCTCTTCTTTGCTTCTTAGGAGATACAAGAAGCCAAGCCTTAACACTATTTTGGCAAATGAGTAAATAATTTGTGTTTATTTTGGATGTAACCACGAATATATCGGTCTTGAGATGTTTCTTATCTGTATGTAAGAGAATTTCTCGGCCTTTGTTGTAAAAAAATGCTTTCCTTAAAAAAAAATGCTTTCCTTTATATTTTGACATCTTCTTTGAACAACAAGAATATGGTTGTAAAGAATATCATTATGTAGAAAGCTAATACACAATCTTTTTTTTAAGCACAGCTAATAGACAATCAACAAAAGCTAATTAGCAAGGCAGGTCTTCTACACGTCTGAAGCAATAGAAAGTAAGAGCATGTTTATTGGGAGGTTCTTAGCATGGAGTTATTAGTGGAATATAAAATCCCGTCTCTTAACTTTCAATTAAAAAAACTAAGAACCGATTTTTAAATAAAGTACTTAAGAACCGGTTCTTAATTTTTTAGTTAAAAGTTAAGAGACGAGTTCTTATATTTCGTTAAGAACCCTACGCTGAGAACCCCTATAAACATGCTCTAAAGGTGGATAAAGTATCTGTTAATGTTAATTTTGATTTGATTTGTAAACCATTTTGACTGGATCCAAGAAATCTACATATTTGGAACTCTGTCGAACAAAGATTTATTAATATCGAAAAAAAATCATAAATACCAAAAATTTAAGAGAAAATTTGAGAATCAAGTAATCAACAAAAGTCATAATTTACTTTTCCAGCAAGATCTGACATCATCAAGTGTCATAATTTGCTTCAACAAAAGCTGATTGATCAGTCAAGTCTCCAAAAAATTCGACCATTCATTACATGCGACTCTCTAATTCAGCATCATGAAGAAAAAAACAATGTACCAGCTTTAACAAAGCAACACCAACAGAACCACTTCACTTGAATGATAATCATAGTCGAAGAAAAAACACAGTTTTAGTCTCAGACCTTGATTCAGCTCAAGCATCACCTTTTTTAAACACAGCTGAAAGTGAAAAGCAAGAAACTCCCAAAAAAAAAAAAAAATCTGGTAACACAACATTAATCCTTTGTCTCCAAATAACATAGCACACATTCAAAACCTTCAAGCATAATATGCATAAGACAATACATATATCAAATAAGTCTTCAAGTTTGTGGAGGGAAGGGACAAACACTTCAACGCCTAGCTCTTCTTCTGGATTTAAAGAAACTCTCTCTGATTGACATTAATTCTTTTACAGCCTCACTCATTCCCAACCGGCTCATTGGAGATTCTTCACAACACCTAAGTCCCACCTCAAAAATCAGCGTCAAGCACTTGGCAGCAGGGAAGCCAATTCTAAGACCGTTGTTAAGAATAATTTCATCTGAGACTTCCAATACCTGCTCTGGCAATGCAGATTTAACATAGCTACATAATGTAAAGTTTTCTCCAAACACCTCATTGGTTGGTCGTTTCCCACTAAACATTTCCAAAACAAGAATCCCAAAGCTATACACATCGCCATGTGTTGATATCTGCCCTCCTATGCCATATTCTGTAACATAATTCTTATAATCAATATTGTCCAAAAAATAAAAAAAATAAATTCATATAACCAAAGATGGAAGCAATAATAATAAAAAAAAATATATATATATATATATATATATATATATATATATATATTATTTTTATCATTTAAACATTACAGACATGGAATAGTTATACCTGGTGCGGCATAGCCGATGGTTCCTCTAACTCCACCGGAGCTAAGTTGATTGAGAAAGTAATCCTGGTCGAATTTAAGGAGGATACGAGCTAGACCAAAGTCACTAACATAGGCGGTTAGATCATTGTCTAGAAGGACATTACTTGGCTTAAGATCACAATGAGCTATAGCTTCATGACAATGAACATGAAAATAATCCAAAACAGAAGCCACGTCTATCACTATGTGAAGTCTTTCAAGAAATGTCAAGATTCTTGAAGGCCTATGAAACTCATCCACTTCTTCTGGATGCAGCCACGTATCCAAGCTTCCGTTTGGCATGAACTCATAGATCAGAGCCCTGAATTGATTTCCTTGGTAATCAATACTTGAACAAGCCGTCAACAGTTTCACAAGATTACGATGCCTTACCTCTTTCAAGGATTCACATTCTGCCATAAAGCTTTTCATTGCTCCACGTCGTTGCATGTTTAAAACTTTTACTGCAACAACCTTGTTCTCTCCTGGAAGCAATGCTTTAAACACTGTACCAAAGCTGCCTGATCCAATCAAGTTACTTGAAGAGAAACCATCTGTTGCGTTTCGAAGATCTCCATAGCTTATCTGTTCATGGAAAGTACCAATGGTGGATGGAGTTTCTGCATTTGTTTTTTTCTTCTTTATTTTTCTGAACCAGCAAAGAGAACTGAAGCTATGAAGAATAGTATAAGCATAGATACACCTATGCTGACTCCAATCACAACTTTCTTTGAAAGAGATGAGTGTTTCGCCTCTTTCTCAAGTTCTTGAGGTAAGCATGGAGTTAGTTTCAATTCCAAGACGCCTCCACATAGGTTTTTGTTTCCAAATACTGAAACTATAGTAGCATTCTTGAACTTTCCTTCTGTTGGCACTTCTCCCTCAAAGTTATTAATAGACAAATTGAGATTCTCCAACGAATGAAAGTTTGCAAAATATCTTGGTATGCTTCCGGAGAGATTGTTGTTGGAGAAATCAACCTCTTTAACACCCACCACTTATGTCTGGAATGGTTCCATCAAAAGAATTCACTTGCAGATAAAGTTGTTCTAGCAAGAGACACTTCCCCAAAGTCTGGGGCAGTTTCCCTGATAGTTTATTATATGCAACAGACAGAGTACCAAGATGTTCAAGTCTTCCAACATCTTTTGGTAGAGAGCCAGTCAAATAATTATTTGACATGGTTAGAAAAACAAGAGGTGAAATTTTCATAATCTCTCTAGGTATAGTCCCACTCAACTTGTTATGATCCATCCTTAAACGTAGCATATAGCTACAATTACCCAGACTTGGAGGAATGGTTCCTTCAAAACTATTATTGTACAAATATAGTTTTACTAACTGGGTGACATTGCCTATAGAAAAGGGTATCTCTCCAGACATTCTATTTGAATAGACACTTAATAAGCCTAGATTTGAAAGTTTCCCAAGAGAGGCTGGGAGTCCTCCTGTCAGTAGATTATTTGCCAACTCAAATGTTTGTAGGTTGATGAGATTCCCAATATCATGTGGAATGCCTCCAGAGATGAGATTCCACCCAAGGCTTAAATACGTTAGGTATATGGACATATTGGCAATAGAGGTAGGCAACATACCCTCAAGCACATTTTGTGACACATCTAAGACATCTAGTTGCGTGCAGTTAGTTAAAGCACCAAGAAAATCAAGATCTCCAGCTGAATTGCTTCCCAAAGAATTATGATTAAGTTCAAAGGTTTGCAAATATTGTACTTTTCCAAAGTTGGAAGGAATACTTCCTGTGAGACTATTAAACTCCATTCCCAACATTTGAAGGTTTGAGATATTGGGAAGTGTTGTTGGAATGAGTCCCGTGAGATGATTACTTCCAAAATATAACTCTCGAATGTTTGGTAGTAAATTACCAAAATCAGGCCTTAAACTCCCAGAGAAACCAATACCAAAGATGTTGAAAGACTCAAGTGAGGACAAATTGTAAATTCCAGGAGGAAAAACCCCAGAAAAATGGTTGAATGATAAATCAAGATACACTACTTGGTCAATCGAGATATACCATTAGGGATTCCTCCTGTGATATTGTTGCCTCCAAAGCTAAGATACTTGAGGGATGTCAAGTTTCCAAGAGATACAGGAAGCTTTCCTTTTAGATTGTTTTTACCAAGTTCTAAATAAGCAAGTTTGGTTAATGAACCTAGCTCTGAAGGAACATCTTGTGTAATAGAATTTGAAAATAATTCAACCTCGAACAATCTAGAGCAGTTATAAAGACTTGTTGGAATCTCTCCTTTGAGAAAATTTAACGACATAAGGAAGTGTTGAATTCTAAACAAGTTTCCCACTTCTTGAGGGATGGTTCCACCAAAAGAGTTATTCTCAAGATTAAGTGATATGAGAAAGGAAAGATTACCAATAGATGGTGATATTGTACCATCCAACTGCAATCCTCCGAGGTTCAAACCAGTAACCCTTTTGTGTTTCCGGCCACATTTAACCCATGCCCAGCTGCAGAGTGGGTATGAGTTGTTCCATGAGGACAAGACAGATCTTCTGCCTTCAGATACTTTGGACTTGAACTCGAGCAGTGCTTGCTTATCAGTTTCATCAGTAAACTTGTATGCTTCAAGTAACATAAGAGTAGTGAAAGAAAGTAAAAGAAAGAGTCTCATGCTTCTCATATATATTTTGCAGGAAATGAATACCAAGAGAAAAATAATTTACAAATTCAAAATGCCTTTGCCTTTACCTCGAAAAAGAATGCAAAGACTTTTAGAAAGTCTAGTCAAGTCTTATCTAGAAGACAAAATGCTCTACGTGTATGGTGGGTTTTCTTTCTCTAGCCATAACATCATTTCTACGTGTATTGTGGGTTTTCTTTTAATTCAAAATGTTCATCATGAGTTTTCTTTTAGGTGTATGACTACGCCAGATATCTGGTTTGCCTCTACACACAAACTCACATTCATCAGTACTAATAATTTGTTATTGATCTACAATTCGGATAATCTAACGTAACTCTTCATGGATTGTGGCGTAAAAGTTCATGTTTCCCTTTGTGGGTATGCTAGATTTGGATTGAATTTGGGGAACTTTGATTGATTTGATGATTATATTTGAGTGTCTAGAGATGTAGACTCCAGAACTCTGACCATCTAACACGGTTAAAAGTTGGTATATACCAATGGGAATTGCTAGAAATAATAACCTTACTTTGTAAAAAATAAAATAATACTTAATAATAATAACCTCACAAGTGTGATGAGATCACCAAACAGAGCAACATTTACAATGAAGTTTTTTTGTCCAACATTTACATACAGTATGGCTCAACAGTATGATCTGTTCGGCCAA